CAGAAAACTTCGCGTAAACAAAATCACCGGCCACCGAAACCACAAAGCGGCTCTGAATGAAAAACCTAACGACTTTCCGCAGTGATTCTTCATTCGCTGTTCAATTTAGCCTTTCAGTTTCGAAGACAAGGGCGATTTTGCTGTTTAAGATAAAGATTAAGTTTATCGAAATGTTTGAACTACAGAAAAGAATGCCAGGGATGCGATCCGCTGAATATCAAGCGACAATCGCGCTAAAATTTTTCATAATTATACATAATTATGCGAATGTTTAGACAATCAACCAATCAAAATCACTACCCGGTTTTCGGGTAGTGAGTGACGTCACTGGACGGCATTAACGGCCCGTCGATTCAAACGATGTTGAGAGGAGAAAACGACTCGAAGCAATCGGATGAATTTCAGGCTATTTCAAAGCTTGTTTAATCGATCTTTACTATGTCATTGTTCCTTTAGGCCAAAACGTACCATTCCATTTTCAGTATTCTCAAGTAACCGGAGAAAAAAGTAATAAAAGCTTTGATCGTTAATTTTTTTGCTTCTGTCCAAGTGACATGTTTCCAAAGAAGTATGCCGGTCCTCGATAATAAAAAACTCTATATGGCGGTGCAGGAAATTTCAAAAGCGATAATTTATTTTTGCAAATAAAAATTTTTACTCGTTTGCCAAAAAAATAAAAAAGAGAGAGTTCTAGTTCCATTTCCAGTTTAATCCTCCATTCGGTAATCTTGTCATCACCGAATTGCATTGCCGACTTGACTTTTAGCTAATGCAGTGAAACCCGCAACCTTTGCTTGTGTTAACTACTTCAAAATTTAACGTGAATTAGCCACAACAGTGAAGTTACACCATACATAAGTTATGTTATAGTTATAATGATTGTTCTATAATAATGAACCTTGAAAAGTTAGCATCACTTAGGCACATGCTTACAACCCTGAAACATTAATTAAGGCCACAAGTCATGAGGTGGTGCGGGGGGGATGGGAGAGACGAGGCCTAGGACCGAGAAACGATGTTCTCACATCTTGCAAAGCGGTCACCTTGCGTGGTGGTCAGTGGATAATAGACCTATTCGTCTAAGTCAATGTTGTACCCAATTCAGATCTCCCGGGGTTAAGATTCTTTGTGTATTTTATTTGCATTATAATGTGGCATTCTCATTTAAATGTATGGAAATTCCTGAAACAAAAAGGTTTTAACCCCAAAGGGTTTGAATTGGGTACAACATTGACTTAGCCGAATAGGTCTATTGCAATATTTTTCCCAGCCAACTGAATTCAACATTTTAAAAATTTAGATGTATACATCATGCCTCTTTGTTTTTCTCGCATAAGGTATTTGTCCTTTGGTACTGAAATTGCGAAGGAAACCAAATGCAAACGATAGTCACTGCAACCGTATAAATTCTTAACCGACAACAACAAGCGCTGGACTATCGGTCGCGTTTATAGAGGTTACATTCATCGGAAGTAAGTCTATTTAAGAGAGTCTTATAAATATAAGCTTATATACCGCTTAATACCTGATTAAACAGATGCACACTTAATAACATTTCACTTCGTTTATTACGATTAGTCAAATGACCTTGAATTCAACGTTAAAACTCCAAACGATCCTAACAAAACAGTCACAACTATTTCTGAAAGCTCTGTACCTTGAAGCGACCTCAGCTTTCCTTAGGGTTGCGGCAAAACGCCGATAGCTAGACTCTTCGGCTGTTCCAATTCCTATCAGCTATACGCAGCGTTTGCTATATGCTGTATATTCTAAACTCTGCACACGAAAATTGTTCGAAAGAAAAAGAAACCCCCTCTCTGAAAAGCGACATAAAATAAAAATAAAATAGCGAGATCGTCCCGCCTTCGACCCTCGTGTTTTTTTTTCTTTTCTTAAAAGCGTTGACATTCTGATACACAGCGTGTTCTGGCTTTTTGGTCAGCGGCACTGATGCCAGGGAAATTTGTGAGAACATCGTTTGGATTTCATTTAAGAGAATGTATGGGAAGTAGCTTCCCACCCCCTTGCCACAAGTAATTTTAACATGTATAACAGTTGTACCTTCTAAAGCTTGCAGAGTCCATACATTTGGCGCTGATTTGGCAATGAAGAATGCCTTTGAAGATGATTGATTAATTGTAAAATAACATAAAAGAGCTGTAGAGTTGCATCGCACTTCTATCATAGTCAGTAAAAGAATCAAGGGATGAATGTGATTTTGATTTTCCCTGCAGTCACGTCCAGAGCGCAGGAACACAGTTTTCGTCGTCTCAAGTCAGAGATTGGGCGAAGCGTCCCTTCGCAGGAAAAGATCTGTTTATTATTGGTGAAGCTTATCATACGTTAACTGGGTGGATCGAAGGAGCACTGCTGTCAGCGGAGAATGCATTGCACGAAGGATGGGGTATCAAATATGACTCCGACTTAGGGCAAATACGAGACCCCCTAACAAGGCAAGAAAACCCTTTTGGCGACAACTTTGAGCTGATTCTATATTAAAAAAGGAGCGGCTGTTTTGCCTTCCATTTGTACTAGTCCACTGGGACATGTTGGAAGTGACTAAGCAAAAATGTTTTTAATTTCTACTGGCAGGTTCTGTTCCTATGATACACCCTCATAGAAAAGAAGTACTTGCTTTTACAGCAAGGGGCCTAAGCGCGTAACCTCCTTTATTAATTCACTTTCCTTCATGCAGACATTAACCAATCAGAAGTCGAGTACAGTTTCCATCTGGCTTCTGATTGGATTAAATCTACACGAATCAAAAGCGGTCACACTTTTGGGCTCCTTGCTTGTCTCATTAATCCTTCCGTTCTCCGTTGTATTGCCTACTCTAAGGCTTTCACAAAGAACCAATTTATGACCCAATGAAAACTATGTCGACAAAACAAATAAGTTGGTGAGCTGAAATTGGCTCTTGATATCAGCTTTTGTGAAAACTAAATGTGCACAGTGAAGTTTAAAATAAACTAAAACACAAACCATTCTCTTTTGTTTTGTTTGTGTAAATAAATGATCTTTTCTTGGAATAAAAGTGCTCTTAAGCACCTTTAAAGAATGCAACTCCAGGAGAAATCACCTACATTTGGCCAATTAAAAAGAACCAAATAAAGGCGATAAAGTTTAAAGTTTATTTTTTTAGCGACGTTTTTCCGTCGTCGTTGCTTAAGCTCCCTAATGACCAGTCACTAAGCTAGGCGGTGAATACAAAGCAAAACAGAATCGTTATCGTGAACTCGCTATATTTTGCAAAGTCTCTGGAGAGCGGATTCAAAACGTTGCGGATTCGCATGCTGGATTCACCGGATACTGTGTGGACGGAAGCCGTACGTATCCGGAACAACAACAACAACAACAACAACAACAACAAGCTCTATTTGCAGGTCCATACAAGTACATACAGTATTGCAAAAGCTATTTATAAATATGTTTTAAGAAGAAGAACTAAAATTTAATCACTGGCCAAGTAAACAACTCTGTTAATAATTCGTCGCGAAAGTCAACGCAAGCTGAAATATATTTCATGAATTGTAAATTAATATTCAATAGTAATTAGATGTGTTCATCAGTTCATTGATCAAAAGGTTCACAGGTAACTGGGTAATATTTGGAATCAGAATCTTAACTTTATTGTAAAAAGCATTCCTAATCAAAGAGTATTTAGAACAATTACAAAGAATTTAAGTGAATTTCGTCTTCTACTTGGTTGGATCCACAAAAAGGGCAATTCCTATTATCTCTGTAGTTTGATTATATCTGCCAAGTTTTTATCATTAGTTTGTGGTTACTTATGATATTCATAGTTTTATTAATTTCTTTCTCTCACAGCTGTTTCTCTCGTTACGTCTAGGTAATTAGAAGTGGTATGATCGCTTTTAAAAGATCTAAAAAAATGTAATTTTGAGAGTGGTGAAGGGTGTTTTGCCAATATGATATATCAGTGTTAAAGTCAGGTATGTTAAAATATTCAGACATCTTCATCAACTGAGAGTGAAAGCTACTCTTACTATTGCAGTATAAATCAAATGACATTAAAAAAGATTGCTTTACGAAAGATTCTTCATCTTTAGGCTTAATGTATAAAATGTAGTTTGTGATTGATAGTGATATTTAAAGGTAAGCGACCAAGTTCAGCTCTACGAGCAACATTAGAAGCCTTGATGTTTATCTCCGAGATGCACTGATCACTCGGGCGGCAAGAGCTTTTTCAGGTGACTTCGAAGTGTGAATAATGACGAGGCAGAATTGTTGCTGTTTTTTGCTTCATCCTCACTATGCCATTCAGGGTTGTCTGACTCCATGAAGTAGCCAACTGTAGAGAAGAAGAAAACTGTTTATTTTTTGCCCCCCCCCCAAAAAGCTTTGTAAACAAAAGGACAAAAAACTTACCTAAGCCCTATACGTGTCCGTGGGCAGAGATCCGGACCGCGTAAAGAACCAGTCCACCAAGACTGGAGACTGAGAGCATTTTGCATTTCCAGGCAACATAGACTTTGCCGCCAATGACCAAGGCGCATTTTGTTGTGTTTATTCATCGTCTGTTTACCATCGGTGAATCAGGAACAATTTCCCATGCAAATGACACAAGCAGAACAAGTGCCTCCAAATTCTCGCTCAGGAAGATTTTCCACCGAAACTCCTCTGGAGAGAGAACGCCGACTTCAAATTCAGCGTGAACAACGAAGGAGAAGACGTCAACGAGAAACCGTGGAGCAGAGAGAACATCACAGCATCGCTTAGCACTGCGAAGGCAACGCCGACAACAAGAGACAGAGGAACAGAGGAACAGGGGACTGGAATATCAGAGGCATTATGATCGTTTTACACTGTGGAAAACCCACATTTATCAGTTTGCCGGTTTCCCCGCCGATATATAGATAAAAGTCTGTAAATTTTCAGCTCTGTACTACGGCCCGAAGTATAATAATTTTCATGCGAACTGCACTGCCATATTTGTGCTTCTTTTTTTTCTAAAATGGGAGGGCGAAATAACACTAAATATGCTTTTCAATACACTTTTAACAATAACACCACACAATACGCAAAAAAGAAGTAGAAGAAAAGAAAGAATAACGTATGGACCTTTGCGACGATATTCGCAGTTGGTTACCCATCTTCTAAACCCCGACCGACAGGCTTAACTTGAGTGCCGTTACCAAACCGAGTTTCGCGAGTGTTATTGCGAGATACGTATTTCTAGTAGGACCAATATTTGTCAGACAAACGACCGCCACTTAAGTGTTGTCGCGAAGAGAGAGCTTTGAGGTTTCAACAATTTTTAGAACTAACTCCAAGGCTGGAAGATCCTACTTTACGAGCAGAATTTAACTAGCCTCGCCATACACCGTATTCACAAATTACGGACACGCGGGAAAGAACTGGTGCCTTGTCATGAAAGCGAGGCGTTGGAGGATAAACAAAAATTGCAAATGAAGACTTTCAGTGAACTTGCATAGTGTTTAGCACGGATTCCACCTAAAATAACTTTGTACGGACTTCTTTTTAAATACAATTACAATACAATTCTGTAAAACAGAAATAAAAGCAGATATTGGTGGCAAGAAAAAAAGAAATAAGCGACGGATATATGGCCTACTTGTCAACGGATGAGACCTTCGCAATTACACAAACAAGTCAAGTCGAGAGCGGGTGAAAGATTCATTCACGAGGATCATTCATTCATGTCAGTGTCATTTTATACACATCTATACAAATATGTATGTCTGTATTTACAACTTCCTTTGGATCATATTAATTCCGTCGCTTTGGAGTGAACTGTTAGAGCCTTGTACGTTGGCAGAGCTTATATAGCTTTCGATTCTTTGTCCTATTTGCGAAATAAAATAATATTATCAAAATTAGAAGCTGTACTGTGTGAATCTTATGGCTTGCTATTTGCCTGGTCTCCTTTCGGGCATTATGTCAGAGAGCTCTTAGTAAAAGATTGGTATAAAGCTCACATTTTACTAATAAGGTTAAACTTTTAAGGCAATGTTTGTGTCAGGACTGAACACGGCAAGCTTCTGTTTCGAATAATTAAATTCGAGTCTGGATCCGTTTAAGGAGACCATCATTTTATTTATTTATGTGTTCTTCAACTTTAAAATATTATGGAACATAAAGTTAAAACTCTTGACAGCCAAAGATAAGAAATACGAAAATTACTCGCTGAAATGATATGTGGCCGGCTTACCGAGTCTGCCGAGCAACAATTTGAAATTTTGAGCGTACTCCAGTCGATCGCTCCTGCATTTATAGTAAAAAGAATAGTTCTAATTGATGTCCTGCATCGATAAAGACCAGAGAACAACGTCCTGGCAAACAAAAACCAAACATAACTTCATCGAAACCTCGATCAGTGACCTCTTCTTTCCTGTCTTCCTTTTTTCTATCTCGACTTGAACTGTTTTGTTCAATGGCAGACGTCTCTTGCGTTAACAGGTAGGCCATATATCCGTCGCTTATTTCTTTTTTTCTTGCCACCAAGATTTGTTTATATTTCTGCTTTACCGAATTGCAGTGAGCCGGCTTTCGTACTCGGTTTCAATGTGGAGTTTGGGCCAACATGTTTGCCGCTTTTCTGCAGCTATCGCCTACCTGTCGAGCTTCTGATGTTTCGGAAACCTACAAAATTATCCTGTTTCCTTGAAGATATACGCGTTTCTTTTGATTGCAAACAGCAAATCAGTACTAAACATTAAAAGCTAAAGACATCCCATGTAATTGTATTTAAAAAGACGTCCATACAAAGTTATTTTTAGTGGAATCCGTGCTAAACACTCTGCAAGTTCACTGAAAGTCTTCATTTGCAATTTTTGTTTATCCTCCAACGCCTCGCTTTTTCCCGCGAGTCCGCCATTTGTGAATACGGTGTACGGGTGCCGGATCTGTATCTGCTTCCAGCTGTATTGATCTCAGCAACACTCGATCTTCAAGAAAAATCACGTGGGACAAAAGTAAACACATCAATTGTTACAGTAGAAAAATGTAAGCATGTAAGCAACACGGTGAAACTTGATACCCAACAACACCACGTGGGATAAAAGCAAACATATCAATTGTCACAACAGAAAACTGTAAGCACATAAGCAACACTAAGGAACTCGATACCCAACAACACCACGGGGGATAAATAGAGAATATTACACGGTGGCGAGAAGATATGAATTTTATGTTCGAGTGGCAATAGATATTGCTCTTGCCACTAGAACATAAAATTCATATCTTCGAGCTAACGCGTAATATTCTTTTTATTATATAAACATACTGATGACGGCGTTTTTGATGATTTTCCGAAGATTTCCGAAGATTTTTCAAATTGTCCCGAAGACCAGACGAACGTTCCCGAACATTTTCCGAGAATTTCCGAAGATGTCCGAAGATTTACGAAGATTGCCGAGCACTTTCGATGATACACCAACGAATTTAAGTACAATTTAAGAGACAAACCTGATGTCAGTGAAATTATCGATATCTTCACATGTAAAAATATCGTATTTTTACGTGTGTTCAGATACCACATTTCTCGGTGGTAGAAATCCTTGTAAAACACTGCAGTTTATATAATAAAACTAAATATGTCAATTGTTACAGTAGAAAAATGTAAACATGTAAGCAACAAGGTGACACTTGATACCCAATCACGTGGGATAAAAGCAAACATATCAATTGTCAGAGCAGAAAACTGTGAGCAACACTAAGGAACTCGATACCCAACAACACCACGTGGGATAAAAGTAAACATGTCAATTGTTACATTAGAAAACTGTAAGCACGTAAGCAACACTATGGCACGCGATCCCCAACAACACCACGTACGTGCAGGATAAAAGTAGACATCTCAATTATTACATTAGAAAACTGTAAGCACGTAAGCAACACGATTTCACTCGATTCTCAACAACACCATTTGAGATAAAAATAAACATGTCAATTGTTACATTAAAAATCTGTAAGCATGTAAGCAACACCATGGCACTCGATACCCAACAACACCACGTGAGACATATAAAACCGAAATTTGTAAGCATGTAAGCATATTTGTTGGTAGCTGCTGTCTGACATTTGTCATTTGATTGGTAAGTTAAACAAATCTTGGTGGAGAAGACAGCCGACTCGAACCAAGCATTTTGGAGCTATCCCAGCCGGCGGAAATCTGCCATCTACCAGCAAAATTTAAGTAGCGTAGCCATAACATAAGTATAAGCAGTTGTGTTGTATACATGAAAAATATTCAATGTTACCAGCATTTAATGTCAGCGGCAAGGTGCCTCTCACTCCCAAACATCACGCGGGATAAAGGTAATTGAAATACATTGCTTCTCAATAAAAAACTGTAAGTTTTAACCGAGGATTTGTCCTTTTTTAAGTTATCTACTAAAATGAGTTAATCTAGTATGGTCTAGTCTAAACAATATACAAACTTTACCAAGCACAAAATAAATAAAGGTTGAAACGTTTTACAAGTTAGTATGCGGGAAGGCAATCATTAGTTTGCAGAAAGGCACCTCTATCTTGGTTTTACTAAAGAGGAGACGTCATTGACTATCCAAACTGTCCTTAGCTGTCACAAAATAAGGAGTAAATCATCCCTTCATTTAGCTACTTAAAGCCAAACAGGGAAGCCGTATGTGTATGTGTGTTTTTTAGGTTTGTGATTTTAGAGAAATAAAATAAGATCAGCATGATTTTATCGTAGTTTTTTTATTACTTTACTTCCCATTACATAACTTAATTACATCACTTATACGACTTAAGTGATAAGCCGGGTCTAAAAATAATGCATCCCTTCAAACGGACAAAAAAAAGTTAGATTGAAGAGGAACTTTAATTTAACAGCTAATTTAACCTCGTTCCCAGCGCTTTTTCCCGAAAGCAAAAAACCTTGTGAACAAGGGCGCAGCTAATGGCTACACCGCCCTCTGAAAGCAGTTGTTTCGTACATTTCTTCTGAGGAAAATTATATCAAATATCTGTTGTTGTTGTTGTTTTTTATCACTGCCCCGTTTCATGTTATTCCGGCTGGGACCTTGATACACCTCTAACCTATAAAATTTGTGGGAATGCGACACTTCAAGGGCGACATGTCTTATCTGTTAGCCATGAGCCCCGTCCAGTGTTGAGAATAACTATATTACTTTTTAGTGGTGTCATGGTATCTGATTCGAATTAAATAAACAAGTGAATCGTATAAGGAAACCCTGGCATGCACTATAGGTATTTTACTGCCATATATGGGCTATATAGGTGTAGTAACCAATCCCCCGCCTAGTCCCAGTCCGCGTGTTTACGTATAAGTAATTCGACTTTCGTGCGGGTTATGCAAATCGTAAAGTATCTTGCTCGAGTTCGCTAGCTGTTACAACTACGTTACGTTCTTTATCTTACTTCGTTCGCCGTATTCCCAAATCGTCAGGTAATGTCCTCTGTCTTCGTTTATCTCGTATTTCCTATGTTATCTGTATTTCCTACGTTATTTCCATTGTTGTAATTAGTCGTTCCGCTCTTAATGTATTATGTTTGTTACTTTATCCTAGAAACCACTGGCAACATCATGTAAATAAGGTTAAGAGTTCGAGTTGTTCCAGTTGAATTAAAACTCTTTTACGACTTACATTATTGCTGGTGCGTTGGCTAAAATAGGTGTGAAGGGTATCTTTTTCAAGCAGTTTAGTCTGTAATGGGGTATAGACATCATGAAGTTTGACTCTAAAATAGGGTATAATTTTTCGGGAAACTGATCAGATCAGTTGGTTGAAGGTGTTAGTTTAGAGAAGAGGAACTGGAAATAGACACTTACTAAAACGAAATCGCAGATTTAAATTTAACCGCAACTCAGTTTATAACAGTTTGAATACAAGTTAACTGCAAAGTAATAGCGAAAAATAGTGCACATTTGTTATAACCGAACAATTCGAGGCGAAAATGAATAAAACGGAGGATGATAGTCGTCTACTCCAAAGACAAGTTCCTTGGATAACCAGGAGCCATTATCGTGGTAGGACTGAGACTGTAACTGGATACCTTCACCAGTAATGAGGTTGGTTCCATCGAAATAACCAAATGTGCTATTTTTAGCACAAATTGTGCCATGATTCATGTCATACGTGCGCTTATTTTTTTTGCGAGGGCGCCGCGCAAAGGATAAACAAACAAAATGGCGTCGAAAATACCTCCGTTGGAGATGAATTAATTCAATTTCTGTCATCATTCCCTCCTCTGAATTTGAGGCAAGACCTTGAGGATAACCTTTTTGACAATAACTCTGAATATGAGGACTATGAATGTAACATAAATATATGTAATTCTGATCATTTTAATCACCGCAGTGACCGTGCTTATGACAAATCCAGTTACGATGAGATGTTGAAGATGTTGCTCTAAGAAAAAAAGAACTTGCGGGGTAAAGGGTGGAGAGCAAACAACAACAACAAATAATTATGTCTAATTTTCCTCAAATATATCTTTGAGTTCATGATGAATACAGCTCCACCAGCTTCAAACAGCGTCTACCGGTACGCTATCCTTGCTAGCGTGGCGCAGTGGTCTAGGAGCCGACCTTCCGTGCAGATGGTCTGGGTTAGACTTTCGGCTTAGGGCTTAGCTGTTTACCTCTTTTATGTATAATTTGGTTATAGCTTTGTTTTTGTTTATTTTAAATCATATTTTTCCCCTTTGGCTTGTTTCCCTTTATTCTTACTGCTGGAAAATAGACGCACTTGCATTACCTACTCTCGTCCAAGATCCTTAATGTCACTCTTCATAAGATATCTTTACACCACCAGGTAAGTGGTCTTCATCATGATACTCCCAGGGATGGTGTCCAGTCATTACCATAATTTTAGTAGAATCTCTTAAATCGGAATGACTACCCTCGTTCCTCCTTTTCCATTTAACCCAGAGTTTGTCAAGATAACTATGGAGGAGCCAAAATTCCGGACTGTATGGGGCTGTCACATAAAAGGCTAAGGTGCCACCAACACACTTATGAAATGGCCCGTGGTGATGCTTGACAATTGTGTTCCTAAAGACAGTATAATTTGCTTCATGGAGGATGTTTTCTTTCTTTTCTGCATTTGGCAGTTTGCAAGAATAATTAAAATTCCGTTTCAAGCAATCTCCATTAGTTTGAGGTAAAGAGTATTCACCATATTTAAACGGACCATTCATTACGCACCCTAAAGGAAAGACTCCATTGCCCCCCAGACCGTGAGGACCTTCATTCCATGTATCCTCGATCTCAGACCCTCGCGTCCAGTGCTCCGCGTCTTTAGACCAATCCCAGTAAGGAATTGTTATCCGGCAGTCGACCTGGCGAAGAAGATTTTCTAACTCCAGCGTATACCATCTGTGCCAGGGGAAAAAGGTTTCCATGGCTGGTATAACTGTATGCACTTTTCCTATTCTCTCATGTTCCCTTATATATCTTGGATCAGACGAAACCATTTTGAAAGCTTTTATGAAGCGAGTTCGTTCTTCCAGGCTCATTTTGGTAAACTCTTTTCGAACTCTATAACAAGAATCTAGTTTTCCATTCTTACACTTGCAGCTTCTATCACAGATGTCTTTAACGCTTTTGTTGTCTTCGCATTTCACACTGTAACCTATAAGAACGAAATAATAAAATAATAATCATAGTATTTTAAAACTATGATGAAAATAATGATAGTAATAGTAATAATAATAATAATGAAAATAATACTTACATTAATAATAATTGGATCATTGCATTGCCGTGATAGGAGATAGCTTGATGCTTTGGGAAATAAGGCCACCTCTAGGTGTGCGACATGTACATAATAATAATAATAATAATAATAATAATAATAATAATAATAATAATAATAATAATAATAATAATAATAATAACAGTAATAATAATAAAAACAAATGGACATTTTATTGATAATAATAATTGATAAAAAAGGAATTTTCCAGGGTGATTTCCTTTCTCCACTCCCACGTCTCTTACAAGAGGCATCTACTGGATTCCAACTCAACAAAGAAGAAGGAAAAATTAATCATTTATTGTTTAATGCCTGTGATGTGAAGATTTATGGCAGGGGTGAAGGAGAAAATGATTCTCTTGTGCAGACCGTCAGAACATTCAGCAATGATTTTGGAGTGGACTTTGGTATCAATAAGTGCGCTGTGCTTGTGATGATCGAAGAGCGGTAAACGGACGGCGGACTACAGGGAAAATCTTTTAACATTTCAAATTTTCAACTATTCGTGTTCCTCCACTGCCGCCACAAAATGAAATACAGCTGCTATCAAGATCCTTCTTGGGTTTTGGGCTGAGGAAATCTTCGCCATGGAATTCAACGAAAGTGAAAGTTGCATATACAGGCTTTTACAGCAGAGTACAGGAAAAGTTCTGACTTCACTCACTTGCTTTCAGTAGCTGCATCCAATTTGAGCCTGGGTAATTTTTACAAGTTTTGTCTCGTTTTAGTTTTGTGGTTAAGTCAGGCGTAATCTTAATTATTTCAAGTCATGAGAGAAGATATGTAAATGGCTTCGCGTTTAATATACAGAAACTAAACTTTTTTTTTCTGGTTGCAAATGAAAAGGGAAAGTTTTAAAGGGAATACCCAGATCTAGCGCAAGCAAAAAAATATTCGAATCCATTTAGAATTCGCATATTTCTCTCTCTTTCTTACTCGTTGGACGAAACAATAAATACGTTCATACACTCCCGTAGCTCCCTCGAAACCAGACCAAAATGAGCAAATTCTATACCCGTTTTCAGTAGACCAAAAAGGGGCAAAAGCCCTACCCGTTGGGGTGGTACCTACCTACAAGGCTTATATTAGGGAGTACCCACCCCCGGGTTTAAGTCCCTGAGTATTGCTCCGGCCCTGGGAATCGAACTCGCGATCTCCCGCTCTGCAGTCAAGCACTCTACTTGTGAGCTAATCCTGCTGCTAATAATAATTGCGTGAAAACGAAAATCAGCCGTGGTAAATAAATTCACGTGTACCGCAAGTCACCTTGGTAAAGTATACCCGAGTAAAAATTCACCGCGGAAGATTTACCACGGGAAAGACCTTTTACCATGGTGTGTGTAACCGCACCTAATGTCATCAGTTAACTGGTTCCAAAGTTCAGGGGCGGAGATGGCGAACGCCCCGTCACCATAAGTCTTCATGTTATTATCAGTCCGGTCTAAAAGCAAGGTAGATGATGATCGAAGCATGTGTGCAGTACATTACAAAGTATGGAGTTCTTTGATGTAGGAAGGCGATAGGTCGTGGAGGCCTTAAATTAAATTTAATGCGTTCGGCAATGGAGAGCCAATGCAGTTGCATCAATAGAGGAGTTACGTGGTCCACTTTTGAAGAAGATGTCGCTAAGCGCGCAGTAGGATTCTGAACGGACTGTAGTTTCCGCAGCAGACGTTTAAGGATGCCATAAAGCAGGGAATTAAAGAAATCTAACTTCGAGGAGACAAAGGCGTGGACAACCAATTCCGTGGTCTTGGGAGATAAATACTTCCTAATGCCAGCAATGTTCCGCATTTGATAGAAAGCTGACTTACAGTGGGAGTTAACCTGAGGTATCATAGAAAGAGTACAGTCAAATTAGCACCAATGTCCCTGACAAGTTGGGAGGGCTGGATGAGATCAGCACCGAAGTGAAGTGTGATAAAAGACTTCTGTGGATTGTATTTGGAATGAAAATAAATCAGTTTCGCCTGTTTAAGCTTGTTAGCAGTCATCCATGAAGGTTTGTCATTTAGGCATTTTTTGATGTTACTTATGTTACTTATGAGAAAGAAAAGCATACAAGCATACGACTGGGTGTCATCAGCGTAAAGATGGAAAGCCATATTGTGATGCCGAAGAATGTCAGCCACAGGTGATGTGTAGAGAAGGTAGAGGACTGGACCTGGCCTTGGGGTTTGCCACAATTCAATTCAGCAGAAAAGGATATATCCAGGTCGAAAAATACAGTCAAACTGAGAACGTTGAGAAAGATAGGACATGAACCACTGCAATGCTTTACCACGAATTAAAAACTTAGATTCGAGTCTACTGAGTAATAAATTATGGTCGACACTGTCAAAAGCGGTCGATAAATCGAGTAATAGCAGAACCACACAACATCGGTTATCGACGGCACGTAATAAGCCGTTATGGATGAGGACAAAAGCTGTCTCGCAATTGTGAAAGAGTTGGTACGCAGATTGGAGCGGTTCACCAAGGTGATTCAGCTCAAGATAGTAAATAAGACGGGAAGCGACGACTTTCTCAAACATCTTGGACATGCACAACTATGATGTTGGACATTGGTCGAAAATTCCGTATTAATTCATTGTTGAGTGAAGGCTTCATAAGGAGCAAGGACAGGACTGCAGATTTAAGAGATCGTGGAAAATTACCAGTTTCCAAGGAAAGGTTAACAATGTTATCTAAAACAGGTACAAGGAGGTCGATCTGACTGACGAAGAGAGTTCAAGAAAGAGGATCCAAGCTCGTATTGATTTGGAACCAACTTGACGAGCTATTTGAGAGAGTTCGTGGATAGTGGTGGGCGAAAAATACTCCAGGCTACAGCTTAACGTATGTAGGAGTATAGGAGTAACAGGAGTAGGAGTATGTTAATCTCAAGAATCTCAATTGGTTTCAAAATTATTCGCCTTTTAGGTTAAGTAGAACAAAATGTTTACAAAACCGCTAACAGGAGCACCTCAAGACATATACTAATCAGACAAATCCTTTTTTTTCTAGCCATCGGCCTGAAGATATCCTTATGATCTTTCACACACGTTTTTAAAAAGATGGAAACTACTATGAGGTGAAATTGCATTTGAAAAGCGCTTCGTTTTCTACAGACAGATCACGGCCGCACATCAAGATTGTCCAGTTTTTGCCGTACGCTCCACTAGTTGTAAGGAACTTTTCTGAATATTTCCTGTAGGGTAAACCTAAACTTTAAACATGTGTTAAGGCGGAATCCACCAGGAAATTGAGTAATTTTAACTTTCAGTGGACAAAAGCCTTGTACCAGTTGTACTCCACTAGTTGTAAGGAACTTTTCCGAATATTTCCTGTAGGGTAAACCTAAACTTTAAATATGTAAATGTAAATACAATTTCAGGTTTCAAAACCTACCTTTATCAAGAAAATTTCCCAAGGTTTCGACGTCGAGATTGGGACATGCGTATTGTGATTTCTTTAGGGTGGTTCCCACAGTCAAAACGAGGTAGCGAAAGGCCTTTAAGAGGTTTCCAGGACAGCGAGGAACGGAAAAACAACCAATTGAGGTCTGCAAAAATAAGGTTTTGAGTCACTTCCCTCGAATTCTCATTCCGAGTGAAGTGACTAATACCGGTAAGTTCAAAAATGTTCCGTAGAAGTCTCTTTTCTCAAGCTAGTGATACCTTCTCGAGATGTTACCTGACGTTAAAACGCAAGAAGTTAACCAAAAAAGTAGCAGAAAACCGTTTAACAAGGGGTTAGACATAACAAAACAAGCCTTTTACTGATCCTTTTGTCGTAATCGATGTTACTGCATTGAATTTTTCGTGATTAGAATTTCCTATAGACGACTGATGGTAAATGTTAATCAGAGGTTTTTGTCTTCTTTTCATTCACCAAAAAAATTTCCCTTTTTCCCGCAATTTAAATAGCTATTGTTCGAACTGGTATCTACGCTATAGAGGCCACTAGCTGTAAAAATTTATGGAACAGAGGAAAGTGGTTGCATGAAAAAAAGGTTTGCCTCCCACAGGATTGGTTCAAACCACCAACATGGTCGCCATTTCATTGTTTTTGGACTCAAATACAGTGCACAAGACGTAGTCACGTGAAACTGTCTACTGTTTCGTTTTTCCTCTGTATCTCCTTATCTGTGTACAGAGGGTTCTTTATTGTACCAAGAATGCGCGTTTAAACAGTGAAAATAAACAAATAAGTAAATAATATTAAATAGATACAGAAACCCATAAGGGGTTGAACAACCCCATATGGGTTTCTGATAGATACGAATCTGTCCGGAAAAAATTAAAGTTTACCATGTGCCCTTCAAGCTGACTGACAATAAAAATAACTTCTAATTTGATATTCTGCCCTTATCAGTTACCACATTAAACATTCTCAAATCTGATTGGCTATAAACTGCCCTGATTCCAGCCTTAATAGGACAGTTTTTAAAACAGGACAGTACGCGTCATGCCTAAGTAATTGGAAAAAAAGATTGGTATCATTTACGATAACATGACTCATTCCGCGACAGCGTCATCTCAACTTCATTCATTGTGTCAAGTGTAAGCCCTTAAAAATCTATTGCCAACGTTTCATTTCATTATCTTGAATAATGCAGAAGATAGACCACCCCCCCCCCTAGTTTTACATATCACCTGAGTAGCTGGTGTTCGTGCCTGGTTCCCGGTTTGACTGACGTTCAGATAGGAGGAAGAAAAGGCTGAGTACTGCATCATTCATGATAAAAAGTGAAACACTGCACCATTCTCTTGTTTTCTTCCTTGTTTATTTTGAGCAACAGCTTTGAATTTTTTACCACGTTTAGCCTAAGACTCACTTTCAACATGCATGAACCTTTGGATGGAAACATTTATTTAAAAGCTAATAAGCTAAACTGTAGTTGTATAGTTAGAATGGAAAGTGTTTCAACTGACTGCTTGTGTGACTTGTTAGCCTGGGAGTGGATTTCCTTGAATTAAGAATATTTTCAATGCATGAATATTCTTATAAATTTGTAGTCACACCACATTTTTTTAACAGCTCCTAAGCAAACAGTTATAGGCAATTCCAAAGTCCATTTAACCCAAATAGTAATATACTGAAGTAGTATTTTTTTTTAAAAGTTCCGTTCGCCAGGATAAGATAACCATTCCAGGGGCGTAGCTGCCTTTAAGCCATTAAGGTCGGGCTTAACAAGAATTTGGGTCAAAATGAGCTCGTGTAATCTCGTGAAAGGGCATGAAAATGGAACTCGTTGTAGTCGCCCTGATGGGCGGGTAAAACTGAAAAAATTGGCACATATAGTCGACTAACTCGGAACCTCGCTAATTCAAACCTCCCACCAACTCGAAGTAATTTTATTTGTTTCTCTTCAGATCAACTTTTCTGTACAATTTTACCCTCCCGAACCATTTATGGGAGTGACAGCTCGTGAAAAAAAGCAATGAACTGTAGTCCAAAACTTTGAATTTATTTCAAAACAACTGTGTCGGTGGTCTTTGTCTTTAATTTTTTGTCAGTCCAATTCAAATTCAATATGTAACCTTTTTAAGATTAATCAAGTTTTGTTGCACATCTCTTCTTGCCCTTAAATTGAAGTTTGCATATACTTACATTCCTCCCCATCCCCTTTCGTTATTTCTCGTTATTTGCTTCAAACTCCCAATAACTCGAACGTTTTTCAATTTCCCTTTACCCTTGAAGGTTTAAGTTATAGGGAACCTACTGTAATTCTCTTGAATCTGTCCTTCAACACCATCTTTTAAATAACATTTAACAAACCATTTTCTCCTTGTTTGCTTTCCTGAAATATCAAGTAGCCAAGTAGATCATGCAAAACAGGTAATTTTATGCCCTGGTTACACTTCTTCACTAATCGATGTTAAAATGCACCCTCGAACTAGCCAATCCATCAGAATGGTTCTTTATTTCAGTTTACTTGAAAATCGGCGACTGATCTAAAAACTAGCCTTGCTTCTGTTTTGTCTCAAACTTACTGAGATACACTGGGCGAAACAGTTAAAAAAGACATTAAAACTGAGAAAGCCGCCACTGAACTCATCATTTTTCTCCTCTCCAGGTCAGCGTCCACTGCGACTCTAAAGAGATACAGTCAACTCCCGATAACTAGAACCTTCTCCAAGTCGAACCAAAATCGATTTCCGCTGGATTTCCTTCATGCATTTTCTGTAATTATTCCCTCGGTAACTTGAACATCCGCTAACTCGATTGTTTTTTTGCTTACCTTCAAACAACTTCTAAATAATTTTGCCTTCGATGACTCGAACCATGTTCTAAGCGCCTAGCAAATCGAAAAATCGTGTACTGCACTCCGAAATCTATGTCAGCCGTGTATTCTTTTATACCTTTGAGTTCAGTTAAAAAAAAAATCATGTCCAGCCCAGTATAATGATCAAGCACATTAGATCTCTTGATGCCATAGCCAGAAATTTCGGACCCTCCCCTCCACCATTGCCAAAAGGACTTTTACAAATCGGGCTTAAATGAGAAAAAAGCGGTCGGCTACGCCCCTGCATTTCACCAATCCTTTTGTCTTTGTCCAAAAGACTTTTTATAATGGTGCGTTTAGATGTTGTGCCATGTCAATTTCAGTAGTACCGCTTCACTTATGTTGGAGGACAATTTTAATGCAAACTATATTGAGCAAGATCAAACCAACTGTAATATATATACAAGGGAAATAAAAGAATTTGAAGCATATTCAAAAAAATTGACGTGAAAAATGTTATTTTATTAAGAGAAGAAATCAAATTAATTGTAGAAAAAAACTAAATTTAAAACAGTCTAATTGTAGTATATTGTAGACTAGTTGAAGAGAAAATTTATTGTAGAAAACAAAATCTAATTGTAAAGAGATTTAACATGAGCAGACCAGAGGCATGAGCAGATCAGGTCCACAACCAAAACAGTGACTTTTCGTCATTTAGCGAGTATAAAAACAGTTGCTAGAAATAGGACATACACTGGCTGGCCTTACCTGCAGCAAGTCACATTCTTTCATCGACAGAGGTTCATTTCCACTTTCGATAGCTTCCAAAAGCCCTAGAGAAGGATATAGACATTCTTGGATCGCCTTTAATTGACAAAATTGATCTTGGTGCATAGACATACTCTTTTCTACTAGCCCAAAAAACACTATGAACCAAAGTTGTAAGTATAGCATGTTCGTGTCTGACCAAGTTCACTTCTGCACTTCGTCGGCTGCAAAAAAAAAAAGAATGGTCACCCGCCTCTATGCTAACAGGTTATTCAAGTCAAGTAAGCATGAATAAATGATGATTGAATTAATGAAATCAACCTTTTACATGCTTACATAAGGAAGCACTTCTAGTATCAATTTATGCTTACTAGATAATTCAGTTTAGTTTAATTCAATTATATTAGTTTAAATTTAAATGGAAATTTACTTTTAATTAATTTATTTTGCAAGAAGTCTCTTGCGTGAGAGACGAAACGCCTCGGAGCGGAAATAAACGAAAAAAATTACAATTACAAAAAGTCTTCCCTTTTGCTGCTCACTAGTCTTCGTTAAAAGAAAAGAAAAGAAAAAAAGCAAGAAATGAAAATAAATGATGTTTTCCGCGGAATGGGTTGATGTACAGGTCAACTAAACTAGGGAACTCTAGGGAGGAGAGACGATCATGTAGTATGGAGTTTAGGAAAACACCTTTGTGAATGCAAAGCCTCCTTGGCCCAGCCAAACTTGAAATAATTCTTGTTTTTGCACTTTACGAATTCTTACAACAGTGTCTGGAAGGGCGATAAAAGATGGTGAAACAGCGAAATGACTACTTGCACGTATTCCTCAAACCGTAGCCGATCTAGGAACTCTAAATAGGAAACTGTGTGCTTTGTATCCATCATCTTAACGACTATCGTTCCCTTTTAAATTTAATACATACGATGGCGTTGGGCTTGTTCGAGTCTTATGTAGCGGGAACGTGATGAGCGGTGTCGATGTCTAACATCGTGATGACTTTTAATAAGAGCAGTGAAAAAACGTAAGTCGTAGCGAAATTTCGTCTGCGCGGAGCGAGTAGGAGAAAAAAGCTGTAGCCATCACTTTATCGCTAAAGTAAGCGCAAGCATTATAAATGGGTATGGTATTTTTTTGATAAAAGATGGCAACGATTGCTACAATTACCGAAAAAATTCAGCGTTGTGAACAATGAAACCTTCGTTTTGAACACATGGAAACCAGCAGTTCGTTGTCGCAAACATCGCTACCATTCCCTTCCAAATGTTGCTTCCAATTATTCTCTCATGCAAATTGCTAAACCGCTTTTAGGGAAGTCACTTCAAGACTTTTACTTCAGATTGTTCTCTATTACATGTTGATGCACCTTTTAGAATCGCTCTATGCAAAATAGATAAGGAACGAAACATACTTGTCTTAAGTTCCTGCCGTTCTACCCGCTACAATCGGTGCTGGAAAAAATCGTCAAACTATGTGGTATGGTTTTTTTAAATAAAATTTCCGAGTGTTTGCTCATCGAAGCCAAGATGATGTAAATGAACGCAGAGATCAGTCGACAGACTTAAAAGATCGAGACGTTTAAATGCTTTCACGCGCGCACGAGCTTTGACTATTCTCTTAGAAATGTATTTTCGTCATGGTAGTAAGTTGCTTAGCAAGTAATTAGCGAGCTAGCATTCCCGTTTGGAAATTTCTGTAATGAATTAAAAATTTTTGCTGCAGCGGAATTGAAAGTAAATGTATTTTCGTCATGGTATTTTCATGTATTTTCGTCATGGTAGTAAGTTGCTTAGCAAGTAATTAGCGAGGTAGAATTCCCGTTTGGAAATTTCTGTAATGAATTAAAAATTTTTGCTGCAGCGGAATTGAAAGTGCTATCGAAGGGAAGGAAAAATAAGCCGCAAAAATGACCTTAACTTATGACAATGTCCTGGGAACTTACAAAACAACGTTTGTAACGTTTCGGTCAATTCAATATAATATTCCATAATCTTTTTCGAAGGTATAGAGAGGGAATAACAACTTATGTCCGGAAATGCATGTAATGGCGAAAATGGCGAAAGATCTCCAGGGGCTGGCAATTCAAATAGGCCATTTGCACGATGGCGCTATTTTACTACTACGACCACAACCTTTTCGTTTTTCCTTTCATATTCAAATTTGGTGATCCCAGCGAGGTTTAAATAACAAAAGTACATTTGCAAACGATGGATTCTGGTCCTATTTTGACGTCATCACAAATGACCAATTGGACCACTTGAAAGTGGCAATTTTGGCGATTTTTTCGTTTTTCCAGAGGTTTCATATTCAAATTTGGTAATCCGAAATTGGAGGTTTCAAATGGCGAACAAAAGATATTCCCTTTGAAATTTGACTAAAAAGGTCCCTATAACTGTGAGGAAACATTTCTCAAAAATATTTTCAAATTAGATAACTAATTTTAAGACGCCCCTATAACTGTGAGGCAACATTTATCAAATAAAACTGGATCAAAGATTGAAATCTGAAAACAATGAATGGAAGTCGTTTCGGTTAAGCTTATGACCCATGTATTTTTGCCACGTACTCCACAAGTTAAGTAAACATTTTATTGTTATTATTTTCGATGTCGCTTGACTTACCAAAAGTAATGTGATACGCAGAAATATCACAGTAGCATCATTTGCTCTTGTATGGCTTATTCCTTTCAAAACCTTACAAAAAGGAGAGATTTTTCGTTCAAGCCAACCACCCACAGGTAAGTCCACTTATTACTCGAGAAGATAACCTCTAAGTCCTTGAAATGGTAATAATTCCTTACCTTGGACACTAACTTTTGAGGTTCAATGTAGAACTAAACAATTCTAATTGCTGACAATTCTCTTAACATTGGTTCCATCAAATTGTGAGACAGCCTTACATTTGTAAATCAAAACCGAATGCGAAATTGATTGTTTCTGGCTAAAAGATGCTTTCAGAAATGACCAGTATGTGCCCTTCTTTCTTTTTTTTTGCCCTCCTCTTTGGAGCGACTGTCCCCTAAAAGTAACCATGGATAATGAAGTAACGAAAGCCAAAATGTCCATCAGCATGGGTGCGCCATTTTGAAATGTGTAAATTCCCTTAATTTACCTTATGTAAACCTAAACGAAATGTCGCTACTGCCTAATACTTCACCGCTTTTATTAAACATAAACATTGGATCGAAATATTATGCCATGTTTCTCTCGTTCTTAAAACATACCCCACTGAAACTTATTCTGTATCTTTTCATCAACAAAATATATTAAAAAAAACGATAGTGTACCTGTTTGTCTCGTTCTTAAAACATGTGCCCCATTATGGCTATATGAACTGGGGCCATAAATTTGGACAATTTATGCTTTTGTGCACAATCACTTAGTTTATGTTGGCCTCCTGTGGTTAATGTATTTCGCCCAAATCAATAATACCAATTTCAGACATGAAGCACACGTACCAACTCTGCAGTATTCCAAGAACCTTATGTATATGCACACCATATCACCGCGGTAGTGGCTGCCTTTGACAGCTATTTCCTACCGGCCGTACCGTAAGGTTAGCAGGATGCTTCAGTGCTGAAATTGGTATTATCAAAGTTCCATTCACGTATACATAATTTCCTGCTACATAATGAATACAACATACAAACACCAAGATACAGACAACATTTACACATAAAATGCACATAAACATTTCGTTGTATTATTGTATTGTATCCATTCCAAAAATAGCATAACCAAAACTGTCAAATTACGTACAATAATGATTTACCCATCATCATGCAAGGTACTTAAAGCAGGCTGAAAATAAATTTCCACTCAGTTAGTGAAACTCATTTCCACAGTAACCTTCTTAACATTAATCCATCCACACTTCTATAGCAGCAGCCACTTTTAAAAATTCATATAAGTATAGTCGATCTCAAAGTTTATATTGTTTTATTTCCCCATAATGTTGACTGTGCCACTGTTCAAAACATCTTCTATTTGCCTACTACTCTTTAAGAAATTACCTAATTCACAATTTCAACTATTTCAATTTTCTCCTACCCTAAGACATTGCCAATCCACCCTGCTGTGATATCGAAGCAAAACACAGAGACAGTGGAAACTTAAGCTAATTTTGCAATCAACATACTTTTAACATAAAACTTTTCAATTAACACTGTAGTTTCTTTCCACACGCCTATTTCTTAATTCACAAATATTCACTATATAAAAATTTCCCTACACATCTCCTTTTAAATATCCTATAAGTACAAAAAGCCATAAAATTTCCCAAAATGAATCGTCGAATCTCGTCACCTGGCCTTTTACCTTCTATTACCTCAGAGACCCTGTGAACGACAATAATCATTATTGCTTACATAGTTTAATTACCAAAATCGGCTAATTCAACATGGCCGCCGGTATAACAATTGCTAAACCTTACACGTTACATGTTCTGTGAAACAGCAATGAACTAGCTCGTTTATACATGTTTGTACGATTGATCGCTATTTTAACAAAGAGGATGGATACACAAGGTAATAACGACCATCCAATTATCTAAAGTGCGTAGCCAAGAAGCAAAATGGATTCCTCAAGAAATTTATAAAGATGAACTGTAGCCATTGTATTCAGCTTCTAAACATAATTAAAACAACGACTACACGCCTGGGAAAGTAAGGATACCTATTTTGGGACTTTTTGGTAAGAAAATCACCATATTACCACTTCATTATAATCGAATGCATCTCGAGGACCATTCAAATTGAATTGTGCAAGAATTACTTATAGGTGGTAATTCCCGACCAAACACTCTTGTTTGAGACGAATTTCAAATCACAAGAGATTATCAGTTGAAGGTAATAGCATTATAGACAGATTAATGACACTGAAGTTACACTAACCTTGTCATTATCAATATATTGGAGACATTTCCACTATCTTATGGACTTGTCTTCCACATCCCTAACATGTTTCAGATAACTTGACCACTCTTCAAAGGGATCCTTTTGCTAAGTCCTACAAATCAACAATCTGTATGTTAACGAACCCATTATTGGAATACTTTGTCAAATACGCCGTTTTTCCCCAACTCACCACCTTTAAATGAGTCCCTTTGCCATCTCATTTGTTATGTTGTTAACAATTTGACGATTGTTCGCCATTTCTGCCATTGTCGCCAAAGTCGCCACTTTCAAAAGGGGCCGAGTTGGCCATCTTTTAATAATTGAAATTATTATATTGTTAACAATTTGGCGATTGTTTGCCGTTTCTGCCATTTTCGCCAAAATCGCCACCTTCAAAACGGGACCCTTTGCCATCTTATTTGATATGTCGTTGACAATTTGGCGATTAATCGCCATTTCTACCATTTTCGCCAAAATCGCCAGTTCCAAAAGGGATCCTTTGGCATCTCATTTGATACGTTGTTAACAATTTGGCGATGAATCACCATTTCTGCCATTTCGCCAAAATCACCACTTCCAAATAAAAGGGCCCCTTTGCCATGTCGTTTGATGTTCTGTTAAGAATTTGACGAAACAATTCATCGACCTGCTCCCAGTTTGCTTGTTAGCTCAGTTGGTAGAACGCTGCATCGGTATTGCAGTGGTTAAGGGCTGGAATCTCGTACAAGCCTGAATTTTTTCAGGCTTTCTTTCCGCAACTGCAAAAGTTGCGTCCATTGCTGCGATGATCTTCTTTCATATAATTTGGCGATTGCTCGCCATTCCTGCCATTTTCGCCAAAATCGCCACTTTCAAAAGGGCCCCTTTGCCATCTCATTTGAATTTTTGTTAAAAATTTGGCGATTGTTCGCCATTTCTGCCATTTTCGCCCAATGTGCCACTTTCAAAAGGCCTTGGCCATCTTTTTTAATATGTCGTTAACAATTTGGCAATTAATTGCCGTCTCTACAATTTTCGCTAAAATCGCCACTTTCAAAAGGGGCCCTTGGTGACAGGTGGCAACACCGGCGACGCCAGACAGGCATCACGAGGGAAGAGTACATTCAGGGCTGCAGTGCGATCTGGAAAGGAAATCGTTTGGAAATGCATTTACTGTGCTGATGATTATTCCACCATACTCATCGCTGAGAGTACAAGACTCGACGGCTTTGAGATTCCACCGTCATTTGATATACCTTCTCAGCGATCAACAGTGGAATACGATAGCCGAGAGAGATTAGAGGACAACCGTAATTTTCCTTTTTTGTCTTGTACTTGGTGTCTCGATAATTAATCGTTATGGTTAATCAATAATAAATCACAATCACCCTAATCATAATCATTCTTTTCGATTTCTTTTTTCTAATTAATGTACTGTGATTTTGGACGTTTATTCCACAGATACCGAACGCCTCACCGAGTCTTCAATTGCTAACCACTCCCAAGCCTCGACGTCATTGCTGACCTCTGGGCCTCAGTTCAAACGTCGAACTTTACACAGAACACAAATCACCCTAAAATCAAAACAAGAATTTCCAGGCTTGGTGAATTATACTTTTTTCAATTTATTTCCCTATTTTAAGCAGTAAGGATGATATTTCTTTTCGCCTCGAATCAGGTTCAGCACATGTAAAGTTCGACCGTCTGAATCAACAGCCCAAATTAATAGTTTGCGTCGACCTAAATAGGTATTAGGCTCGGCACATGTAAAGTTCGACGTTTAAAGCGGACCTTGCCGTCCTTAAAACCTTTACAGCCGATCGCACGAGTCGACTATGAGCTTGCCCTATCAAGCCGTCATGCGATGGTGTTAAAATATTACCTAAAATATTACCTAATGCTCGGTGGGAAAGAAAGTCGCCCGAAGGGCGACGCATTCGAAAGCGAAGCTTTCCAAGCGAGGCAGGAAGTGCCGAGAAGAAAATGAGACTTTATCATATGTTATATGTCTCTTTGTTATATGTTAGCCGATGTTATTCGTCCGCAGTCATTACCTTCAGCGGTTTTCTTGATCATTGGATAATATATGCCAGGTTTATAAGTTGATCGAATGACGGTCTGCTCGATTAGTTTAATTTACAGTATAAACTGATAAAGGCAATGCGTGGTACCAACCGTAAAATTTAACTACAATCCGAGGTCACAAATAACTCCTCTGCGCCCTGTGGACTGTATTGAAAACATTGCTTGAAGGCTCCACTACTCCATCTCTCCCCACTCCTCATACAGTTTTCGCGCAACTTTTCTCGATCCGCTTTCCTTACTATCTTGGAGCCTTGAACAGGCTACGATCATAGTAACAAGCCAGCAAAAATCGGGAAATGTGGCAACAATGGATCCAGGGGCTATCACCATTGTCAAAACCTAAAAAGTTGGAGTGTAGTAGATCTCATCGCGTAAAATACTTTTTAAGACGTCCGTGTCTGACGCGGCTCAAACATTTAACAACCAAGTAAATTACAAAGAAGAGGGATTCTATTATAAATGGTTCCCACCGGTGGTTAGTTGAATGGCAAATCAAGCTTAAAAAATAGACCTTTTTACCGATACGGCGGCCATATTGAGAACTATACAGTGAAAGACCATATTTCTAATACTAAGCTAGAAAAAGGCGATCATTTTTACATCCAACCACGGCACAAGGATCTTTGTTCCCATTACAAGAAAAAATGTCCCGAAAAGCGCTCGAAAATACAAACGAAATGTGCTCATGTCCCCTGGGTATCCTATAATACTCCTTAAATCGATTAATTCAATATGTCCGCCGTATCGGTAAAAAGGTCTATTCTGTGTTTCTTGGTGTTGAGGCCCGGGGGGGGCACTCCCATACATTACCTATACGGGTATGTGCCGCCCAACGGGGTCGTGATTTTGAAGCTCCTGATTTTGAACGGGGTATCCATTTCAGGGGCGTTTTCTAGAACGGGGTATAAAAAATTGTGGATCACGGCTTTATCTTCTGCTTAAAATTGTTGCTGATTATGAAGAAGCATTTATTTGATGTATAAGTCGAACAAGGAAAGAAATATCTCTTAAAAAACAGGGCTTTTTCAATTTACAAACTTTCTAGAACGGAGTATAAGCAACTGGCCCATTTCTAGAACGGGGTATCAGTTTTAGGTTGAATTCTGGAACGGGGTATAAAAAATTGGCTCATTTCTATAACGGGGTATCAATTTTAGCGGAAATTTTTTTTAGAACGGGGTGCCAATTTAGAGTCCCGGGCGGCACATACCCACCCAAAAATTATCCAAGTGCCCCCCCCCGGGTGTTGAGGAAACCGTTGTTGGTTCGCTTTTGTATTGTGGTGTGAGTATTGTTCTTTGCATTTTCAATCTTTTGTGTTACGTCATCTGGTGATTGCACCTGTCCGCAACACCACGAAACTATCGTAAAATTCAGTAGGAACATCACATCATCTGTTACTGTGGGGGCAAAACGAAAAGCAAGGTAATAGCCATTATGTTTGTAAACTGTCAGGGAAACGGAATCAACTCAAAGTTGTCGTCGCCTTTATCTTGCTTTGATTCTCTTCCTTGCCCTAAATGGGAATCATTTTCAATCCCCCATCCTTCACTCAATGCATTCTGTGCTGATTGCAGTGCTCCCTCGATCCAGCCTTTTATTGGCTGATAAGCTTCACCAACGATGAAAAGATCTTTTTCTGCGAAGGGACGCTTAGCCCAGTTTTTGACTTGAGACGCAGAAAACTGTGTTCCTGCGTTCTGTCTGTGCCTGTAGAGAAGATCACAATAATCCCTTTCTCACAAGCAATAAGTACACATTAAGCAAATGAAAGTAATTTAAGGCCTTAGTTTGTGGCAGCGGACAGCAGCTGTAACTGCAGGGGTTCCCAGGAGCAAAGAAATCAAAGCATCTAGAATAGCCCAGATATAATGATCATGTCTTAATAAGCCCATGGAATTAGCTAGAGTGCAAAGAGGTGTAATAAAGTTTAACAAGGCTGTTTCACGGCTGGCAAGTTCTTATCATTAATATTGCCAGTTACATGTCTGTTGAACTTAACTTTAGCGAATAGATTACTTGCAATTGACAAAGTTGAATTTTAAAACCAAAGTTGTGGTATAATATTCCAAAGCAAATTTTGCGTACTAGGTCCTTGGTCCCGGCCGGCCACTGGACGATAACATAAACCAGCCAAACAGTGATTGAAAAGGGAGAGAATAGAAAGTTCAGTTTTCATTTCGTTTAGTTCTTAGTAAATTAAGACTTTATGAATTGAAGTGAGGATCTTTCAACTTTGAGTCACATTTTAAGTAAAGCATCAATGAGTGCATTAAGTAAATAATAGAAACCGCATGCAGCGTTCAAGTTAAATATATTTTTCGAGACTTTCCCAGTAGCACTGCACTTGATTAATCAAGTAATGATCAAGGAGGCCATAAAAAGGGAGCTTTATCCGTCCGATTGGTTTCATTAAGGAGCTTTAGCAAAATTCAAGCCTTGGGTTTTAACAAGCAAAACATTACTCTGCCTTGACTGCACGTGCAAGATGACGCACGCTTTTCGATCGGATTTCTTTGCCGTTCCTGCACGAAATTTCCTGAAGGAAGTTTTTTTTTGACAAGCGACGACAAATTGACCACTCCAGAAATACCATAACATGCCATAATGCTCTTTGTTTGTCACCCCAAAATTTTGCATTAGCATTGTTTTCAGTTTCTCTTGGGACCATTTTAACTTCCAAGAGAAACTAATGACAATGCTTATGCAAAATTTGGGGGCGACAAACAAAGAGCATTATGGTATGTTATGGTATTTTCTGGAGTGGTCAAATAAATTTTTCTTTCCCTCTAAACTTGATCGAATTTATTTAAATAGTGGCGATTTCGCTGCCGTTGCATCGTAATTAACTGCACGACACACTTTCGCACGGAAGCGAAACTATTAATAATTCTGCATGATACCAAACTATAGCTCTTTACACAGAAATCTCATTTTGGTTTCGAAGTTATAATGATGCCTTTAGAAAATAAACAGGAATTTAGATCAGTTGGTGCTTGGAACGTTTCTTTTTGCTCACAGTTTGCATGCCGGGATACAAGTGGCCAAAGGAACCAAGGAACCACTGGCAGGACCTAGGGACTTCAAACGGAGCGGTCATTTTCTATGATGCAGGATTTTCGGCAAAGCTCAGAAGCTGTCGGTTTTTCACAAGTTAGTAAAATGTTACGGCAACTTACAGGACAATTTAAGCACACTACTCTTCTTCTAAGATAAGAAATACTCATTCACGTCTTTTTCGTCCGGACCAGGGAACACATACTGTACGCATCAATGTCAGGAGCCCATGGCCTCATAGTCATGGGCCCTTTCCATACCAAAATTTTAGTATGAGCCAATAAAATTGTTGAATGACCTTCTTCCCCTGAGACAGGCTTCGTCTTCCATTTTGAATTTTCTTTTAAACACCACTGACCTAGAAGCCCGCCTGCATGCATCTTGCGCCCATGATCTGCCCCAGAGAGGAGGATCTGGCTCCTTTTTCATGGGAAATTCAAAAATTGTCTACTAAAACACTGTGAAATGTTTAAGAAAGGCCAATTTAAGCACTTAAGGCTTTTCCGATATCTCAGAATTGCTAGAAAACTATAGAGAAATTGCTCAGAATGCGAAAAGTTGCTCGAAATACGAGAAGTTGCTTAAAACGTTGCCGAGCAACTTGTGGAAAACCCTAGCAGCAGCCGTACTTCCATTAGAAAATTCTAGGGGACGTTTTTTCGTATCGAAATTTTTCCAACGATCATCTTTTTTGTACAGTTAAAGCAATTATATCTTGGTAAAAAAAAAATGTGAAAAACACAACCTTCGAATCGAAAAGATACATATCTCGTACCGGTATAACAGTTAGCCCTTATCGACTTCTTTCGAGCACGTATTTTACAGAAAAAAAAGACGTTGGGCCCCCCTTCAGTAGCTTATTAACTTTGTAGCCGTGTAGTATACAGTAGATTGTATAGATTCACTTACACGGCGCCTTCTTCCCAATACACGTAAACCGTTTCCAAAGGCTTGGGAATATTAACTCCGGGAAACAATGTCGTTAAGGCTCTGAGAATCTGGTGATCCACGCTCTGTTTAGAAATCTTCAATAGTTCTCCCCATCTGGCAGCACAATGCACGTTTGCATAAGCCATCTGCAGTAACGCTTCACCTTTGGGACCACGTCGCCTGCGAATTATCACGCTGATTTAGCAACAGGACGGGAACGTCAGTTGGCGACGGGAAAGCGCGCGGAAAGGACTAAACACGACTTCCGGTTCCCAATTTGCCGCTCTGCCATTGGCCAAGCCAGTTGTTTGATTTGCGCGCGCAGTTGTCAACTGACGTTCCGGTTCTGTTGCTAAATCAGCCTATCGTATTAAACAGGTAACACATAAAAAGACTCGTTCAAGTACTTCATCGGGCTTTCCAAACAAAATTAGGTTTACTTGGAGGTGACTAACAGTTTGGGCTGGAATTCCCCTACGTTTTGAGCGATTCACAGTTACTTTGCAGTTCTTCGGGGAACCGACCCACTCTTTTAAAGAACATAAACACTAGATACACATTAATTAAGATTGCCGTTCGCAACTAAGCCTTTCATTCTTATGAGACAACAACTACAAAGACATTGACTTCATCCGGTTACGTTTTTATTTTGCTTATTTTTTTCTTTCCAGTTTTGAAGTCTTGCACATCCTGACAACGTGTGGTCTGCCAGTCAGGCGAGTTTGGGTCTGGATTGAATCCATCATCTTAGCGATAGAATTTTGGACCGATGACTCTTCACGACAGCTTTTGATTGTCTCGAAAACTGAAAGGGCTCGAAATCCAGCTCTAAGTCGGAGGTAGTTTTTTTAGGTGGTATTTTTTTTAATACTGAGTCTCCTCGTTTGCTGATATTTTGCAGTCATTTTCATTGATTGATAAATTGAAAAAAAATATATAGTCCTCAAGATGAGAGATATTGGGGCGGATATTAAGCCCTTGATAGCTTTGGGACCTCTCATGAAGATCAGCTAATACATAGGATAACGTTTTACGTTACGGTGTTAGTAGATAGAACCACTGAAATATACATATTGGCGGCCATGTCAGACTGCATTACGGGACTGTGACTCCTAGTTTGGATGAGGGTACTATGGCATGGTCTGAGTTTCTTAATAAAGGTACTGTATACGTTTGGTCAGTACACTTGAAGTATGGCAATTGTGCTGAATAATACTCTAACTTTTACTTACTTGTACGGGAATATAGACCCTAAACAGTCACTGGTAGACACCATCGGTTGCTCATCTGCCAAATAACGACTTCCGGTAGAATTATATTGCCACCAAGCCTCTTCAAACACTGCGAACCCCTTAAATGCCAAAGAGATTCCAACAGACTGAAAGATGGAGTCGTTTTTAATTTTCTCGGCAACAGAGCCCTTGAGTTGATTCATCGGTTGTGGGGGTACTGCAAGAACCAGTTTCTTGGCACTTACAGCATAATTTGTTGTTATCAGCTTAAACTGATCCTCACGATACTCTTCCATGAATTTAATTTTTTCGTTTTTGTAAAGTTTTGCACCGAGTTCCGTAGCAGACAGTTCTAAAGCTCGTGTTATTGCTGATAATCCGCTATCTGGTCTCGAGAAATTCTTAAAGCGAGCATACATTAACAATAAGTCAACAATACTTCTAGCATCAGGTGGATTGTAATAGTTCGGTAGCCATCCATTGACGTGTGCAAATAACTGGAAACCTTCTGGTGTAAGATACTCCGTAATAAAGTCATAAAAGCTAGCAAAATCGTTTGCTTTTTCCCGCTTACCAAGTAAGTACCCCATCATCTGTTCATAGGTTGCATTCTGAAATGGTCCTTGGTTCAGAGAAGGAAATGCTTCTTCTTTAAGGCTTAGTGAGTCAGTGGCAAAAATTCCCCGCGCCTCTAGTCTGTTGTGATGGTCTTTAGCAAGATAGCTGACTGATATGCCAAAACGTTTAAGCAGGTCCCTAAATAAGAAAGGCAGAAAACATCAATAGAGGCCTTTAGATTCTATTAAGACGCGCGAGGACCACTACGAGGTACTTGCCTTGTTTTATGTCAGTTCAAGTTGTACTAATTGTATGGTAAACCTTGTACTTGTAATATGTCTTCAGCTTCCCCCGCCTCGATTAGTTCATAAGCTATTTACGGGTGGGGAAGTAATGTAATTAGTTATATAATTATCCAGTTTTCACCAATATTTGTTGTTGTTATTATTGTTGATTTTCTTTAACTAAGCAGAGCGCGCGCGTGGACCAAAGCCGTCGTCATGTATTCCGGGTTATAATTACTGTAAATTGTCCTCACTGCGAAAACAAGTCATCAAATGTTACAATTTTCATCAGTATGTTTCTCAGTATCCGGATACTTCAGTTTAAGATTGCAATAACTTTCCTTTGTTAATCGCAAGAGCTCTGAAATTTGGCCCAGAGAAAATCTATTTAGTCCTTAATATGACGAAAGACAGTTTAACTTTTTCGCCCTTGTTTCCATCGCAAAATTAATATTTTTGCAGAGCTCCTATGTTGCCCAGTATCCGGACATAACAATAACAAAGTACTTGTACATAAATTTCGACGGGCAAGCGACTTATAAGTTTCTCTTGCACTTGCAAAGTAGACTGACAATCGATTCCAAAAATATAACCTAGCATCGTGAAATAAAACATAACAAATGACTGGGTAATGGTGGGGAACGCGAGCGGCTGTTTTAAAAATGGTATAATTCTCACTTCCTTGTCTGGGAACTTTTTCACTGGTTTAAGGAAGGCATCCGTGGACATGCCGAGGCCGCAGTTTGTAAGCTCAATTAGCCAATCTGCAAACGACTTTTTTTCTTCATTTTTTATTTAAAAAAAAAGCTCGGGGAAGGGACCTTGATCGAACGGTCAAAGGTCACTCTCCTATTTAGTCTGACCTGCATTGGTTGATTTCTCCATGCTCAGACCCAACAATAAGCCTGCTTTTCTAGCACTAATTCCTCCTTCTTTCACATCTCTCAATCCCTTTGTGACATTTCTCAGACAGTTGCAACCCCATTCTAGCAGTCACAACTGGGGAAAGTATGAGAATTCCAGGTTCAACTCAGACGCTTTCGGTTATATATAGAAAATGCAGTCACGCGAAACAAGCCGTGCACACGAAATCAAGTCGCCTCTGAATGAGTGAAGAAAATTTCCATACGGAGTTGAGTAGAATTACATTTTACGACTATATCATATATCCTAAGCTTTAATTATAGTTACTGATATGAAATAAATCTTATCCGGATAATGTACACAGCTAATTCATCGATTCTGTACAGCAAATGAAAAACTGTCCGGATACTGGGCACCTGACATCAATACTTAGTGAATGTTTCTGGCCTCCGTTATTCCAAACAAATCGAATTTCAAGAAGAATTAATAAACTTTCTGAAAACCTGACTTCCTTAAGTATCTTCACTTTAAAAATAAAACAGTTTCTTTGAAAATATCACACATTTACCCTCCCTTTTCTGAGCAGCACTAATTTTACTGCGCAGTAAACAGCGTAAATATTAGCCATGTAAAGTTTACTGACCTGAACAGAACGGCGTCTTCTGCGACTCTTTCGCAAGCTTTCAAAACGCCAAAACTTTCATCTTAAAGCTGAAATGTTCAGCTTTCATTTGAAATACTTCGTTAACCGAGAACTGAAAAGGGCGCCTCAAAATTGAGTTTTTGTTTCAAGTGTCCGGATACTGGTACCGTCCGGATACTGGGCAACATAATGTATCTGGTAAAAGAAGGAAATAAAGCTTTCCGGGGTTGACTATTGTTCGCGAATACGCGAGAAAAAGTCAAACTAGTCCTCGTAGTCGTCCTCGCGCGATCCTCGACTCTAATCTAAATCGGAAACGAAAAAAACAAACAACAACTGCAGCGGCAACAGAAAACAAACAAAAAAACAAAGCAAAACAAAACAAAACTGGTGGAGTTAGAGAATTTCTTGGGGGAAGTGAGAAAGAGAAACTGAGATCAATAATCCTGCGGTAGCCACTGAAAAACGGAGAGGCTGTCCGTTTTCTAACAAATACGAATAATTTTTACGTGATATGCAAGGAGCTGATATAATGAAAAGAATCGCTTGTTTTCGAGTAGCTGCAGCAGTAATAATGGAATGTTACTTACCAAACATGTGAGTGGGTTTCTTCCACTCGCCACGCGCCCAGACCTTGAAGTACACAAACAGGAGAAAAGGCTAAAATAGCTACATGTACTCTGTTTAAGGAGGATACCTCCTATCATAACCCCGATTCAATTAGTGTCAGTACACAATCAAGTAAGTTTTATAACAGCATCATGTGACCGCTCATCGCCAACCTTCACCCTCTCTTAGTCGATTCCGGTCCAAAACGCCACCATGTTTAAGACGCTTAACTATATGAAATTGTCTATTTACACTGTTTTTTTAACGGCACATGCATTTTTAAGCCAAATAAGGGAACCCACCCCCTCTCCCCCGCTATATAACCCCTCAATAGCGTCTAGTTTTGCTAAGCAAATATGCTAATAAAATAGAAGGACAGTAAAATAACGCAACTGGCTTTTTCGAAAAACGGAACTGGAAATGTTGAACTCGGGACCTTCGAGTAAATCCTCCAGTTTGAGATGAGGGCGGAACTTGAAACTGCTATACCAAAGTGGACCAATCGGACACTCGCGCGAGATATTGAAGTCGTTCTTCCGAGTTCCGTCGTCTTAGGTGATAGCAAAACAGGTTTCCTTAATGAAATTCTCTCACGCAGATAGACTCTTTACAAAAGGTTTACCACAAATGAATCCAATGACATATAGCTGCTTGGTTAGTGGAGCGACCGAAGTTTCGGAGGATGGATTGGTCACCCACAAAAGGACTAATAATTCTTGTCTATTAAAGGGACTGTCTAATGTAAACTCAAGTCCTATTTGAAACTTAGTGCAGTGCACAAAAATTTCCAAACCGGAAATATTTAAGACGGAATCACCCAGGAAATTGAGTATTTTAATTTTCAGAGGACAGAAATCTTGTACCAGAATAATTTAAGGCATCTTGCATTCGTTTGTACATTCTTCAAGAGCTGAAGATTTAATTGGTCATCTATCTGTAGTAACACCAAAAAAATTTTTTTATGGAGGCCCGATAAAATCAATGTCAAATTTCACAAAATTACATCTTACACATTAAATTTTCAAAATTTTACCTGTGTTTTCACAATTCTTGTGAAATTTGACATTCGTTTGCTCGGACTCCCATGAGAAATTTTCTTTGGTGTTATTACAGATGACTAATGACATCTTCAGCCCTTGAAAACTGTAAAAACAGAATGCAATGTTCTTTAAATTATTCTGATACAAGGTTTTTGTTCACTGAAAATTACATATACTCAATTTCCTGGTCGATTCCGTCTTAATGTCATTTGCAAAACTACTTACTGACTGGCACACCAGGCATTCGTTGAAACGAGTAATCATGTATTCGTCCACCAAAGCGATCACTTCTTTCAAACAAACAAACATCAGTCTCTTTCTGGAGTCTGAGGAGACTTTCGGCTACATACAGACCGGAAACACCTCCACCGACTATGGCCACGTCACATGACAGCTGAGTGGTCTCGTCACCTGCAATGCAAACTTGGGGAAGTTAAAGGGGCTGTGTCACGGCAGTCCAGTTCATTTTGTTTAATTTTGTCAATGCTCGCCCTCAATCGCTGTGAAACTTAAAGTAAGTAAAGAAATTACATGTAAATAACAAAATCAGAGATCCGAGACAAACAAATATGTCTCCTGAGCATTATTTTTAAAGTTGCAAGTAGCAGGGATCAACTTTGAAAAACTGTTAGGCTGAACAGTTTTCAAAAACCCTAATTTCAATCCGTTTCAATCTTCTTCAGTTTTGCCCATCCGTGGCATATGTTGTTTCTGTTATGTTATTTTAACCTTCCTTTAAAGTTTTAAGCAGTTATTTTTATGTTTTTCTTAATTTAACAGGCATTTTGTAATTTCCTAATTTGGCTGAATTTCGTGACACAGCTCCTTTAAAAGGCTTGATAACCAGTATGCTGGTGGATGCATTGTGGGTTAAGGCTTGCGGACGGAGGTATGACCAGAAGGCTTGCGTCTGTAAGAGTGTTTTGGACAAATCCAGTTACGAAGAGATGTCAGAGATGTCGTGCAATGAATTTCCCGTTCGGACGAAACCAAACCAAACCAAACAACAACAACAACAACAACAACAACAAAACTTGCAGGGAAAAGGAGGACGGAAAGTTAATAACAGCAGCAACCAATAATTATGTCCAATTTTCCTCAAATATATCTTTGAATTCCCGATATAAACCCAGCTCCACCAGCTTCAAACAGTATCTATTGACAGACGTCACGGGAAAATACTTTAAAGATCTTTAAATTAATTAATTTCCCACTTAACGTTCAAGAAATACTTCTATCACACGCCTCACTTGTAATCCGGAGTACCCCCCCGGGGGGCATCATACACCACATCAACCTTGTGTTTACCCAGGCATGAACACAAGGATCCGCATGGTTGAACCAGTGCCTAGCGAGTAAGAAACTCTCATACCGTATTTATTCGAATAAGCACCCAACCTCGAATTAGCGTCCACCTCGAATAAGCGGCCCATCCTATAGGTAGAAAAAGTAAATAAGCGCCCACCTACACCCCTCCCCCTCCCCTCCCACTCAAACGCAAACAGCGCCCACCCTCACCCCCCCCGCCTTCCCGCTCCCACCCCCCAGCCCCAAAATTGAATAAGTACTAATATTCAGAAGAGACTTCCCCGAAGACGGAATTTTCTTCAGAGTAGTTTACACAATTGGTTTACAAGAACCTTGCTTTGTTACATCTTCACGTTTTGTTATTACCATTTATTGCAAAATAAACATACTGCACTTGCTGACAATGGTGACATTTTAATAAGCGCCCAGCCTCGAATAAGCGCCCACCCTCAAGGTCCAAAAATTTAATAAGCGCCCAGGGCGGTTAATCGAATAAATACGGTACTTATGCTTTCCTTATAATTAGTTTATAACCTCACTCACTCTTTCGTTTGTTCGTTCTTTCGTTAGTAAAATATCCTATCCGAATTTTCCAAGAACCTATTCCCTCCCCCTTCTGGGGTAATCGTGTAAGTCATGGACTCCACGAAAGAAATAACATGAACTAAAGCTTATGTTTTTCCTTGTCGCTATCACCAACTTAGTGCTATTCGATATCCAAAACACAAACTGTACTGGCACAAGTCCCTAAATGAACTGATGACAAAACCTGAGGCACATTACAGAGGCGCATTTCCCCGGCATTTCCCGGAACCAAAGCAATCCTTATAACAAGTAAGTCCTCGCAGGGCCATGTGTCAGGACTGTTTGTTTATTCTTTGACTGACCACGATTTGTTTTGATCCAACGTCACTCAACTATGTTCGAACACGATTTATAGTCTCACTGTACGGTCTGTCATGATCCAAAAAAATTTTGACGATAAACAACAAAATACACCGATAAATGTTGCTAAAAGCGACGTCTTTCAACGGAGAGGCATTCGTAGTTGGGAACTGTTTGTATGACCGACATCTCGGTTGTGGCAGAAGCCGCTTTCAAGGGCTTGACTTCGTTCGCCCTCCGTATGAACGAACAAAACTGAATTGTTTTAAGCAAAAAGGATCTCTGATGAAGGCAGTAATGCGAAAACGTAAATAACACTTATTTAAAAGACGCTTAGCAGATTTTATCGGTAACTTATAATATTAAGTGACACCTCGGTCAACCGAGCCACCTTGGTCACTGGCCTGACCGAAGCTGATACAATTATCAAAGGCACTGAACCTCACCTGACTTAGCAGATGCTTGCGTCTCACCAGTGTTTTCACTACAGTCCACCGAAGTGAACTTTTTACGACCAGGACCAAGGAAGGCTGCTAAGAGAACCAAAGCAGTTACAACAACTAGCAAAACTACAGCTGTGATAGCGATGATCTTGTACTTCATAAATACGCCGCTTCTCTTGCTGTTTTGTTCCGACTGATCCACAATTTTGTAAGTAGCGAGTTCCATTGCAATAACTTGAGCGTCTTTTCCAAAAAAAAAAAACTGTAATGGCTTGCAACTCTTATTTTGAGAAATCGATTATTCTGCGCGCAGGCTTGCGTGAGGTCCGTGAGAATAAATAGGTGGGAGGCACGGTTTATCTTTACGCTTCAGGTATCGACTGGTCTAATGACGAAATTGGGCAATCATTCTCCTGGGGCCCAGTTCCTGAAAAGGCTGATTAGCTTTAGTCCAGGTTTAAAATTTTGTTCCACTCCACTCTTTGTATTTAGACTATTTACATTTCTATGTACTGCCTAGGGTAAAACTTTCGGGGAACATTTGTGTCTTCATTACTGTATTTCGGAGTAAAGACCCAACCCCGGGGGGGGCACTTGGGTATTTTTTGGGTGGGTATGTGCCGCCCGGGCCTCCAGATTGGCACCCCGTTCTAAAAAAAATTCCCCTAAAATTGATACCCCGTTCTAGAATTCGCCCTAAAACTGATACCCCGTTCTAGAAATGAGCCAATTTTTTATACTCCGTTCAGGGTGCAACAAGAGTACAACAGTTTGCTTGTTAACGCGCGCATTTAACCGTATTTTTAAAAGCAATCTGTCCTTGAATAATTTCAAATAGCTGCTTACAAAACTGGAACTTGCGTTCGAAATATTATACCCCGTTCTAGAAAACGCCTCTAAAATGGATACCCCGTTCTAAATCAGGAGCTTCAAAATCACTACCCCGTTGGGCGGCACATACCCGTATAGGTAATGTATGGGAGTACCCTCCCCGGGGACCCAACGGCATTTTGGAGGCTCGAGTTACATGTTTTTCGGCAAGAAAACCTTGCTTTAAGTTTGGCTTAATCATCGCTTATCTGTCTCTCGAGTAACCGGGCCCAGGTGTTAGCCGAAATACCGCGGAGTTGGTGCGTGTGCTTCAGTGCTTAATTTGGTATTGTTAGCCGACATGCTGCCACCGTGGCTTGCTTTCCTCTCCATTACAGTAGCCGTGGTCCTGCGATAGTACAAACCTGCTAAGCTCTGCTAGGCATTCTATAAGGACAATTCTTTTGAGTTATTCATTCAAAATATCCCACTATTTCTTTTTGGCTCAAATAGGATAACCAGCTAGCTTCATAAACAGCTAGCCTTGACCAAATTTAAAAGATGTTTGCGTTTTTTGAAAAATTACTTCATTAGTGGATTAGTGCCACATATAAAGTGCTAAAAAAATTGACGACAACCGAGAATCCCTGGGGACGCGGTTGCGTTGTTTCGGTAGAGCACTAGACACAACTGAGAAACATTTCAAACGTTTCTCGACGAAGAAATAGCCGAACTACTACCTAAAGACATGGCAAAAGCAGTAAGAATACACCCGCTAGATGAAATCTGCTATATGGAGAATATGTGCAGAACTAAACATCACTCGATCACATACAGAAAAGGAGAAGTCCAAAGTCTACGGCAAAGCTTTGTCACATGATGTGTGAAAATGTTAACTTCTTTACTTTTCATTAATCTTGAGGCCGTAGTGTTCTCTACCTGATGTCAGAAAAGGAACTCTGTTTACCCGTCCAGCTCGTTACCTTGTTATTTGTGAACTGAAATGCTCAAACGCTCTACGTGGTTCGACTGCCGCTCTTACTTTCAAGACAAGGTGAGACTTTTGCTGATATTCAAGTAAAATCTTTAATTTTTTAGTGGCTTAATTTGTCATCATATAAAGACCAAAATGAAATAAGGACAAACGTCTAAAAGACTACTGTAAGCCCAACACAACCGTGCACTGAGGTAACTTCTAAATGCTGAAACGTCACTGACGAATTTCCCCGTTTTGCACTTATTGAACAAATAAATGCCGTGTTTAGACTTGAGCGTGCTACCGAGGTATTGGAGTTAACTTACCTAGGTAAATATTTTGCGTGTGTAAACGCCGACTGATACCCTGGTAAACACCGCTCAAGACAATAGAAAGTTAACTAAGGTAAAAGTTCGGTTTGCCCTGCGAAAAGGCATGGTTAAGGTCGGTAACCAAGGTTTGGATGACAGATACATCCGCTTGCGGTGGCATAGAATTTCGCATCCTGTGGTGTCGGGATTGCGTCAGTCTGATTCGATCACGTTTTCGAGACCAGGTTTTCGACCAGGTTTCCACGTTTGGTTTCGGTCTACGAAGAAGTTATGGCAAAAACAAAGACACAAATCATTACGAATGCAACCTGCCCGAAAGGTAAAGTTTCGAACCAGAATTGGTTTCTCGGCCACGACCACGCACGTCTAACGCGCCTTGTCTTGCGAAGGGCAATTTGTAGCAGAATTAATCGCTTTCGCCTCGACCTTTTTAGGTGCTGCAAAAGTAAGAGCTGCTGCAATCTCGATTCCTGGGTTTGCTGATCAAGAACAAGAAAATAAAACGCGAGGACTACAAGAGCCACAGTTTCTCTTTTAAACGCCAACATTTTATGCATGGATTTAGAATTTGCGCCAATTCGATTAGATTGTGACTGATGACAGATTTACCTTAGTTATTTGAGCCCGTATAAACACTGTACAAATGTACCAGGGTTTAGTCAGTTAATGTTTACCTTGGTAAACGCTTGAGTGTAAACACAGCAAAAGCGTGTCCAATCATAATCCACTTAAACTCGTCAAGAGAAAAAAAGGGAACTAGAAAAGATAATGAACAAAAGTTCAACCAAGTGAAGAGGTATAGCACAGCCAGAGCCGGAATCCTCTCCTACTTCCAGTCCAGGGTCATAAAGAATTCTGCTGACAGCTTTTGGAAAACGAAAAATAAATTTCTGCCTGTTTTCGTTTTCTATGATCTTCGGATAGACACCATTCCCTGGCATGTCTCGTATTTCGTTGTCGACCATTACCTAAATCAAAAGAAACAAAGTTCGATGACTAGGATGTTTTTACACGGGGGAGGCAACTTGAGTAAAGGACAGGTGTGGCGCTCTGATTTAGGTGCCTTAAGGTCCACCGTATATAGCTTAAGTTCCCCTTTAAAGTCGTAATATTTAATTGCAGTGAAATATAATGCGTGTTTTTATCAGCTTCTTTTTAGACGTTGTTTTTATGGCGTGTATCCCATCCAAAAGCCCCTTATGAAGTTGAATGAGCCCAAGGGCTTATAGTCGTTCGGATTTTAACGGTACTCGTTACTCAAAATTTGATCGATATCCCATCCGATATCCGCCGAATAAATGAGGTTAGACATGGTCAAACCGGTCGTTTCATGGTGGGGCAAATGTAAACACAACTTAGGACTGGTAAATTCCTTCGGGATCGTAATTATAAGTATTTACCAAAGCAGTGAATAGCAATTTTCGCGCGTTTTGATTGGGTCCCGTAACTCGGAGTATCCTTTTGGCTATTCATTGCTTTGCGAACTAAGCCAAGATGGCGTCTCGTTTCGGAAGACGAAATTTGAGCGATAAATGAAGCAGTCGTACAAAGAAACAACTTGTCTAGAAAAGTAACTAACTTTGGCTTGTTGGTGTTTACTGGTAGCAAGAAAATTATCACTTCATGCTGAATTTGCAACAAAACTGTAAAAATCACTTGACAATTCCCCGAAATGTTTGTAAAGGGTAAACAAAGGTCCTAAGTTACAATTTCATTTTTATCCAACTGATTTGGTAAATACTAAAAGAACTATCCCCGTCAGCGTCGGTGTACAGCGCTAGATAATATACCCCGACTCTTCGCGTCTCTATATATCCATTAACCTCCCCTTTGGGAGACATGTAGGCCAAAAATAAATAATGTCCGGATACTGGTACCGTCCGGATACTGGGCAACATAATGTATCTGGTAAAAGAAGGAAATAAAGCTTTCCGGGGTTGACTATTGTTCGCGAATACGCGAGAAAAAGTCAAACTAGTCCTCGTAGTCGTCCTCGCGCGATCCTCGACTCTAATCTAAATCGGAAACGAAAAAAACAAACAACAACTGCAGCGGCAACAGAAAACAAACAAAAAAACAAAGCAAAACAAAACAAAACTGGTGGAGTTAGAGAATTTCTTGGGGGAAGTGAGAAAGAGAAACTGAGATCAATAATCCTGCGGTAGCCACTGAAAAACGGAGAGGCTGTCCGTTTTCTAACAAATACGAGTAATTTTTACGTGATATGCAAGGAGCTGATATAATGAAAAGAATCGCTTGTTTTCGAGTAGCTGCAGCAGTAATAATGGAATGTTACTTACCAAACATGTGAGTGGGTTTCTTCCACTCGCCACGCGCCCAGACCTTGAAGTACACAAACAGGAGAAAAGGCTAAAATAGCTACATGTACTCTGTTTAAGGAGGATACCTCCTATCATAACCCCGATTCAATTAGTGTCAGTACACAATCAAGTAAGTTTTATAACAGCATCATGTGACCGCTCATCGCCAACCTTCACCCTCTCTTAGTCGATTCCGGTCCAAAACGCCACCATGTTTAAGACGCTTAACTATATGAAATTGTCTATTTACACTGTTTTTTTAACGGCACATGCATTTTTAAGCCAAATAAGGGAACCCACCCCCTCTCCCCCGCTATATAACCCCTCAATAGCGTCTAGTTTTGCTAAGCAAATATGCTAATAAAATAGAAGGACAGTAAAATAACGCAACTGGCTTTTTTTCGAAAAACGGAACTGGAAATGTTGAACTCGGGACCTTCGAGTAAATCCTCCAGTTTGAGATGAGGGCGGAACTTGAAACTGCTATACCAAAGTGGACCAATCGGACACTCGCGCGAGATATTGAAGTCGTTCTTCCGAGTTCCGTCGTCTTAGGTGATAGCAAAACAGGTTTCCTTAATGAAATTCTCTCACGCAGATAGACTCTTTACAAAAGGTTTACCACAAATGAATCCAATGACATATAGCTGCTTGGTTAGTGGAGCGACCGAAGTTTCGGAGGATGGATTGGTCACCCACAAAAGGACTAATAATTCTTGTCTATTAAAGGGACTGTCTAATGTAAACTCAAGTCCTATTTGAAACTTAGTGCAGTGCACAAAAATTT